AGAGAGAGAGAGAGAGAGAGAGAGAGAGAGAGAGAGAGAGAGAGAGAACACTACTGTGCTATGTGACTTAAGTGGTAGTACTGGAAGACAGTGGTCAATGTCCTGGCAATAACTGCTGAGCAACCAGAAATGATGGATTACTAACACAAAGGAACTGTAATAGTCTATCTGCATGCCGGCCATTTCTAAAGACTAAGTCAACACATATGAACATCAGGTTTGTGTGTAAAATATGTGAAACCTCATGCGTGCATGTTACAGGCTACAAAATAACTTAAGTAAAATAGCTTAGAGATTGATTATAACTGGGATGTTATTTTTTTTAATCTTAAAATTTGATTATTTTTGTTATCTTAAAATAAAGGTATGTGAAGCTGGACAGAGGTGGCCCACACCTTTAATTACAGCTCTTGGGAAGCAGAGGCAGACAGATCTCTGTGAGTGTGTGGCCAGCCTGGTCTACAGAGCAAGTTCCAGGATAGCCAGTGGGAACTTACAGAGAAACCTTATCTCAAAAAACAAAACAAAACAAAACAAAACAAAACAAAACAAAACAAAACAAATAAAATAAAATAAAATAAAATAAAATAAAATAAAATAAAATAAAAAAATTGACTTTAATGTGTGCATGTGCATTGTGCGGCTGCGTATGTGACAAGAGGAGCTGTGTGCCACAAGTGGCACACAGAAAGACGCACTGTCACAATCAACTTACTTGTGAATCAGTATTGACCTTGCTATATTTCAAGATGACTGTAGCAACACTGCTACCAAGGCGTCTAGAAAGAGTGAGCACTGACTCTACCCTAGGACCACAGAGGATGCAGCAAACACAAGCCCATCCTCCTAGGCACACTTAGAAAGACCAGAGATGGAAACCAATTCTCCAGCCTGTCCAGAAAGCAGAAACCACATTTTATTTGAACAATGTGGGTCACTATTATCTTCTCCTGACAGTGAATTTTTGTTTTCTTTAAACCACGCAATATGCTCTCATCTCGCTTGGATTCGAGGACAGACGTGGCTGTCCATCTCCCCACATCGGATGAGATCAATAGCGCTCTCTGTTCCTCTAAGAATAAATGGCAGTCCTGTTTTTTTTTTTCCGGGTCCTTAAGGTAATTAAGAGAAGTGTGTGTAGGCCGGAGGAAAAGAAGACGACAATTAATCGAACTTGGAGAATTAGCTCTCTTCCTGCATTGCCTCTTTCCTGGTCCTATAAATAACAACATTATGTCATGATGACAGGGCATGCTGTTCACACACAAGAAGCAGGTTGCCCTTCAACAGAGGGTTCTCATAATGGGAGTGCACTGCCTTTGGCCTGAGGTCCTTCTGCCCTGGTCCCTGCTTCTCTGACCTCTGCAGGTCTCCTCTTTTCTCCATCTGTTGAATGAATCACGACAGGGATCAGTGCCCACTTCTCTGTCCCTGCCACAGTCATAAGCAAGTAGGCTAAACAGCAGCATAGACCTGGCATCTTTGGGTAGCACCAATGTAAAATTAATTTAATTTAAATAGAAGTCTAGAGTAAAAGTGTTGTAGCCACTGTTAAAAAGTCTCCTCATGCCCTACTTTCCTTTCTGCTGCTGTGTTACAGCATAGACGAAAAGCAGCTTGGGGAGGGCAGGGCTCATCTGCTCGCTCTTTCAGATCACAGTCCATTACTGAGGGGCTCAGGCAAAAATTCGAGCAGGGACATGAAGTGCAACCATACAGGAATGCCGCGTGCTTAGCCAGCCTTGTCATTAAGGAAAAGGACGGCCTGTACAGGGAGTGCTGCCACTCACAGTGGATGGGCCTTCCCACATCAATCAACAACCAAGATGACCCCGCCCCTCACAGATACGGTCACAGGCCAATATGACAATCTTGACAATTCTGCAATGGAGATTTCCTCCTAGGTCTGTGTCAAGCTGATACGTACAGCTAACCAGCACATGCTCCTCTTGATGACACCTGCAATACTGAGTCAACAAAAGGGGCAGAGCCAGCAGGGGTCAGCGTGTGAAAAGATCCTCCTATGGAGAGCTTCAGAGGCCAGAGGTAAGCATCTGGCCCTGACCTCCAGGAAGGAACTGGGATATCAGGTGCCATGAAGTAAAGGTCAGCCACCAAAGTAGTCCCTGCTGTCACTACTGGGGGTGGTGGATGTCTTCAGTGTGCCAGTAAAGGTCAGCCACCTAAGGAGTCCCTGCATCACTACCTGGGGGGTGGATGTCCCTCACTGTGCCTTACTCAGTGGGAAAAGGCTCTGGCAGGGAGTTCAAAAGACAGCAGGTCAGGGAGGCAGAACACTGCCTCTTACAAGAGACAGATCCCAACACTTCCCTGGTAGCTGCACAGGGAAGTTCCAGAAGCAAGGCACTGTCTGTGCCTCTGCCTTATCATTTCAACTATTTACTCATTCATTCATTCATTCATTCATTCATTCATTCATTCATTCATTCTTCTGTGTGTGCATGTGTGTGATGTATGTGTACATGTGCACGCACATGCAATGCAGTTGTCTGTGGAGGCCAGATGAGGGCAAAGAATCTCCGGGAGTTAGAAGTATGGGGGACCATGAGCTCCCTGATGTGGGTGCTGGGAATTTAACCCTAGTCCCCACAAAAGTAGCCAGTGCTCTTAATTACAGCATATAAGCCAATGGAGGCCCCTCAGCACCCAGCCACGACAGAGTAGAACTACATTTTCAGGAAAGAAAAAGAAAGGGGAACTCCACCCCTAACCCCAGGAGCCTGAGATAAAGGAAAAGTTTCGAGACAGAGTGGGGTGGACTCACTCAGCCACAAGCTTAAGGAATCAAATATTCACATTTCCACTATGCTTCACAATTTAATGATCAGTGTAATCTCATATTTAAGTATGACAGAGCATGCCTGTCCACCCGCCCGAGAGGCAGCTCAGGGGCAAAGGCACTTGCCCTAAGGTCTGGTAACTGGAATTGGAGAAGTGCACTCTGACCTCCTCACTTATGCCCACAGCATGCTCCCCACCCCCACATCAGGCATGTATGCATGTGAATTCCAGTATGCACACACACAAAACAGTAAGCTAAAATTTCAGCACCGAAAGCCCAGTATCTTTGGTACAGGGAGAAGGGAGAACCAGAGTCTGAGGGCTGTCTTACAGTGCTCAGATGTAAGAGCCACTTCGTGAAGGAGAACAATGACTGCAGAAGGCTTCTGTGTGACACTGTCACACTGGGATACTATAACACCAACAAAGCCAACAGGAAGGAGAAACCCAAACCACCCACACCCAGGAAGCAGTGCACAAGCAGAAAACACCCATTATGCACTGGGGCTGCTTGAGGCTGACTTCTGGCATGGAGGAACACACAGATGGAGGGCAGAGATTGTAAAGCTCCTGATTGGTTTATCTGAGAATGACTGGTAAGATGCTGGGTGGTTCTTGTAGTGAGAGCAGTCACCGTCTCTGCAACCTCTTCATTTCCCACAAATCCTCATGCCCCTGAACAAGACGAAAGACAGAGAAATGGCCCTACGCAGTCAGGGCAGGGTCTGGGTTTGGAGAGAGACACCCTGGGCTCATGTGGGGAAATCTCAGGAAGTTATCAGAAGCCCTCTTGGATGCCATTATTATCCTTTTCTGTGACCTGAAGGTGTCACCAGGAGACACATGTTCCTGGGCCAATGGCATTCTGGTACATACACAGTGCCCCTGAGCAGAAAACAGAGTCATGGTAGTCAGGAGTTCACTTGAAAAGCTGAGAAAGGCACCATACCTCTAACCGCTGGATCCGTCCCTTGAAAAACATGAAGAGGGAAGAGTTTGGGTAAGCAGACTCCTTTCTGAGAAGAATTGCCTTAGCCTCATCCAGGCCCCCCTTGTTGTCGCTGCCGTCCAAGGCAAAGAATGGGCGGACCACAGTGTGGTACCACAGCAGGGCTAATCTGCAGGAGACAGGAAGAGAGGGAGGCCTTGAGCAAGACTTCATAGAGATGGCCTCTGTTTTCAAAATAAAAGTCAGCACACACTCTTCCAAGACTGGATTTTCCCAATATTGCTATGTGATATTCCTTTACTTCTGTCTTTATCTGGGAAAATGATATATTAGAGCACGAGGTGTCAATCAACAGTCCCCTGTTCTGTGACAAGAGGAGCACACAGCAGAAGCTTTCGGCTGTATTGTTTGTTACTAACAGAAGCATCTGGATTCTATTCCTCATTCATCCTGCCCACAGAATGGAGACAGTCACCATCAATTTTTTGTCTCTTTATAACAAAAGTTTTCACATTTTTGTGGCTCCTACTGTATTTATAGAAATCAAGGTACCAGCAGCAAACACCTTTAATCCCAGCACTGGGAGGCTAGACAGGCAGACTTGCGTGTGCTCCAGGCAGCCTGGTCTACTTAGCAAGGGCCACACAGTCAGAGCCTAACAAGAACAACAACAGTGTAAGACTATAGATTTAAATGTAGAAGCCACAATCACATACTATATATAATCACTAAAATACCTGAGAAGAACAGATTAAAGGCCCTTTTCCCAGCCTTTGAAGATGTTAAGCACTATAAATAATTTAAAATTATCCAAGTTCAAGTTAGTTAAATTAGAATAAACTAGGCACACAGACAGTAGAATCATTATTGAGATCTGCTTTAATAATAACCAGCACAGGCATAGCCAGCACATCAAATACTTTCATGTGAATGTTACATCTAGTGCGCTGGTAAATGCCCTTATGGAGAACACATTAATCTGCAGAATTAATTCTAATCCCCTTTTCTGAGATAAACATAAAACAATACTAAACCATAAGCAAAAAATACCCACAAGCTACAAACTTGTTAATGATACTAATTAGCAAAAGTTGTAGACCTTTGTGACTGTGAGGGCCACAAGCTGTCCCCATGATTGTTACATGACTGTCAACCCTTCAATGCTAACATATGTAGAACTGCATCTCACTGACGTCTTCTGTGACATCGTAGAGTAGGAAAAATTTTTTTTTTTTACCAAAACAGTGTTTTGTCAGACAAACAGGACCAGCACCTGGTCAGACAGCTTAAAATAAGAACAGTGGTTGTTTTCCAGATGAAAATGTTAAGATTTCTTTCTATGTGGATGGGTATGAGCCTAGACCACTAGGTCAGCTCTAAGCCAATGAGAGATGCTTGTCTCAAGGAGCCCCTCCCTGAAGATGGCACCCAAGTTGTTCTTTGGTTTCCACACACAGGTGGATATGTACCCCTGCATACACAAACACACACACATCTACATATTTGTGCATAAACATGCATACACACAAACTTGTCGGCAAGTTTATTATACTATGTAGTGCCCATGGAGGCCAGGAGAGGGCACCAGATTCCCTGGAACTGGAGTCACACAAGGTTGTGAGCTGCTGTGTTGGTGCTGGGAATTAAACCTGAACCCTCTGTAAGAGCACCAAGCACTCTTAACTGATGAACCATGTTTCCTGTCCCCCCACCCCCAATGAAATTTTAAAATCATGTCCTTATTTTTAAGAAAACATTTTTAATCATTTTGATTTGAATGTGACTCAATTGAGAGGAATACTGGGAGACATGTAAACTACATCAAGTAACTAGAGTCACCAGAGAAGATAAGTACTCAATAGTAGCATTCTTTGTAAGGGTAAAATTTCAGAACCACACAAAATTTGACATCAAATTCAATTAAAATCAGAAATGTACATCTGAGAGACTGTGGGAAAGGCAAAAAACTTACAAAATACTGACGCTGGACAATGGGTCAGCTCACCATTTAGGACTTGGGGAAGGTAGGGGAAATGGCTCAACTGGGTAAGTATCAACTCCCCAAGAATGAGAATATAAGGTCAATCCCCAGAATCCACATACGAATATGGAGCTGGTAGCACATGCTTATAACTTCAGTGCGGGGAGGTGCCAGCAGGTCGACCAGCCTAGACCACTAGGTCAGCTCTAAGCCAATGAGAGATGCTTGTCTCAAGGAGCCTCTCTCTGAGGATGGCACCCAAGTTGTTCTTTGGGTTCCACACACAGGTGGATATGTACCCCCACATACACAAACACACACACATATATACATATTTGTGCATAAACATGCATACACATAAAAAATAAGGAACTAGCAAACAGAGGATTCTGGAGATTTAACAAGCAGTGCCTCAGTTGTCAGGCTAACAGGGTTTCCATCACCACCAGCACAGAATGCGCTCCTTGACACTGCTTGACAGGCACAGTATCAGTATCCACCAGGCAGCACTTCCCCTGAAGTCCCTTTTACAGCCTGCAGTGCAGTTACCTACTTCCAGTACTACGTTATCTACCAAAGCATTGCAATATAGCTACTCACGTAGCTAAAGGGGCCTTCATGTCCTTACTTTCGCTCGCATACGTCAGTGAAGAAAGGCCCTGTAGGCGGTCTCCAGGAAACCCCAGCAGGTTGATGATTTTGAGCAGGTTTGGGGGCACCATGGATATGCAAAGGTGAAAAAGGCCATATCCAAAGCTCACAGCACCTTTCAGTCTGCTTAGGGACTCCTCAGTCACCCCTTCGGCCACAATGTGGTTATCATTTGCAGCATCAGAAGACAAGGGCTCTTCCGTCAGCTTCTTCTGATACAGCTCCTGAAGGGCATTGATGTCCACGTAGCACTTATTGTAAATCTTCCAGGCTTTCCTAAGGATCCACCCACCTTTAATGTAGGCTATGAAGAGAAGGGGAGAGAGGGATTCAAAACCCAGCAATAGCTTTTGCATCCACGTCATGATACAGGACAATTGGCAAGAAGCTGGAAAGAAATAAAGAGCAGACGCATGAAAACATACCGTTACAGCTATCTATGAACTTCACGGAACCACACATTTACTATTTACAGGCAGCGTCCTGAGCATAAGACACGTAAGAACTATGTGGGGCTCTGCTGCTACTGCTAGCAAACTCTTCAAACACAGAGAGAGGAAGGGAGAGACAGAAGGAAGGAAAGAAGAGGGGAGGGAAGAAATATATAGGAAGGGAAAGGAGAGAGGGAAGAGGAAAAGTGAGGGGCAAGAAAGAGAGGCGAGGAGGGGAGGGGAGGGGAGGGGGGGGGGGGGGAGGGGAGGGGAGGGGAGGCGACAGGGCTCCTGCCCTGAGCCTGAGGACCCATGTGGTACTAGGGAGTACTGATTCCTACAAGCTGTCCTTCGATCCCCACAGGCTCTGGGGCATGCGTTTCCCCAAAGCCTGGCTAAATGTCTCATTATGAACGTTTGTTTGTAGCATCATATTTAGCTCAATGTAACAGAACTTTCTTCAGGGAGCCACCTCAGACACTGGTCCAGGTAAACCCAGAGAATTAGGTATCTTTTACAGATCTCTTCTTCAGGAGCCACAGTGATATTTTTTTGCCCCCACCTAGACAAATCCTGAGCTTAGGGGTGAACTACTCCATCTTATGTCTTTAACATTCTTTCTTCCCCCGGTGTAACAAGTAAAATCCTTCCTCTCTCCCTCCATCCTCATCTGGAAATTGAGAAAGGAAAACTCAGCTCTGTTTTACTTCACATTTCCCTTATTAAAATAAACAGAATCTTGATTTATGACAAGGAGACAGCATTGGAGAAGAGGGAACAGATGTGTGACAAAGCTGGGACAGAGGTAGAGAACAGTGGAAGACACGGTGAGCCACAGGTTCAAGTCCAGCCAAGGGAAAAGCTGACCGACTACAGGAACTTGGGAGGAGGGGGCCAGGCTCGGGAAGATGAACTGGAATGATCTAGATCAGCAGAGGGACACGGGAAAAGTGGGAGCAATGGGAGCCAGTGAACAGCTGCTGTTCCCATCCACACAGAACTCAGTCAACAAAGGAAAGGTGATACGCTGAATACCCCAGTCTTATAAAAATACAGGACACAACATGCTTAGGATAGCACACCGCTCCCAGGGCCTGTGGGGATAAAGTATTCATGATGCACAAACTTGAGGAGCTTTAACCAGAGCTAGTAAATTTAAAAAACAAAAACAAAAAACTGCAAGAGGTTATTGGTCAAGATTAGCAACTCAACTGCATGCAAAACAAGGCTACCAGGTAAGAAGAAGTCCACTAATTCACCTTGGTGTTGAAACAGACTCTCCAGACCTTGGCCTCCTCCCTGTTCCTAGAACCAGGCTTTTGAAAGAGGCCACTGATTATGCAGCAGGAAGGTGCCAGTGGCTTTAGGCACCTAACTCTGCAGGGGAGCGGCTCTGCTTGAGGGTGGGGGAGCTGCTCAATGACCCTACCCAGCAAAGCCTCCAAAGAGCCTCTCCTTCTATCCTGCAGAAAACACAGCTTTAAGGGCCCACAGGGCATGGGCTCCGCCAGCTCCTCTGAAGGGTCAGATATGTAGCATTCAGCCGCTGTCATCTCTCTGGGCCAGACAAGGCAGAAAGAGCAGGAAAACACAGGTATTTTTCCTACCCCATGAGGGCCAGGCATCAATCTGCAGGAGAGATAGGGAGGGGCTTCAGGAAGTCCCGCCACACACAGGAGTGGACATTCTTCCCAGGAAGAGCCTCTACTAAAAAAATGAAAGCATTTCATTATACTACACTGACCTTGGGATGAATCTTGTCATTTTCCATGGCAAGAGCATCTGCCTTAGGCCTCACTTAGCCATGTGTCCTAAGGAGGCTGGGGAGCTCCAGAATGAAGGGTCAGTCACGGACATTCCTGAGACCCAGGTAACAGAATTTGAAGAAAAAAAAAGAAAAGTGTGTGTGCATATGTGCATGTGTTTATGTGCCTATCTAAGTGTTTGCATGGGGGTGTGCATGGTTGTGTGGGGTGTGAGCACCTGCGTGTGAAGGCCAGACAACACCTTTGACATTAGTCTGGAGCTCGCTGAGTAGGTGAGACTGGGTGACCAGTGGGCCTCAGAAGTCCACCTGTGTCCAACTTACCATCACAGCTGGGAGGACTGCCCCCATACCCCCGTGCCACCATGCCCAGCGTTGCATGTGGGTTCTGGGGATACAACTCAAGTCCCCACGCTGTGGGGCAAGCGCTTTTCCCTGATGTACATTCCCAGCCCAACAATAGGTGACTTAGTTGTCACCAGCCAGCTACCTCCCCATTGTCTTCACCCACAGACAGGAGACTTCTCACGACTCACTGATCCCTGTCCCACTGGCACTGTATTTCTTGAGTAGTATCCTCCTCCCTCTTCTTCTCTTTCATTCACAGAACACACACTGACCCTGTGCTGGGGAACAGCACCAATCATGCATCAGAGACAGACAAGAAATGGATCAATTTTTGTTGTTGTTGTGTTTCATTTGTTTTGGTTTTGAGCAACCTTGCCCTGTAGCCCTGGCCAGGCTTCTACCTCAGCCTCCAAAATGCTGGGATTAGAGGCTAGCACTTAGCCCCGCGCCCCACCTGGCTCATTCTTTATAACCACAGAGGGACAGGTCCAGAGACCCTCAGCCTTCCCCATGGGTCAGAACCACCTGTGCCTGGTGTTACCTCTGTAATCCTGTCTGCTGGTCCCAGGCTTCCTGAGGTAGAATTTATGAAATCACCTCCACCCCCACCCAGTACACCAAGAGTTTCCTCAGGCTAAAATTTATGTTCCTTCATCTCTGGCCATCAGCACCTGTCATCTCAGCAGGCCAGACACCTAAGAAGTGCAGAGCAATGGGCAGGGGCTATCAGTTCCTACCCTCAGTCTTTACTGTCTAACATGGAGGTAGGTTCAGAAATAAACACATAGATCACTGGGTGACAGCTGCTCACTTGGCCACAAGAGGGTATCTGCTTCTCATCACCCAGGGCAGACTGATGAGGCCCATGAGGAAAGAGGACGGCAGCATGGGAACCACCTGACTGGGCATAAGAGGAATGCAAAGGAGCTGACGTTTTTCTAGACAGGAGGCAGTGTGAACTAAGACACAAGCTTCCAAGCGCTTTCAAAGAACCTCGAGGATCGAGCATGCAGGATGCCAGGAAGGGACGGTTCTGATCTGACACCCACGAAAGGGACTTGGCTCTATCTTGTGGGTAACGCAGGCTAGCTACGTGTTTGAAGCATCAGTGCACCATATCCTAGGCGGGACTAGTGACATTGGCAACAGGGCGCATGTCTGGGAAAGTCTGAGAAACCTTCACTGTGAGGCTACAAAGAGGTGGCACAAACAGCCAGACTGAGGGGCAGAGAGAATGTCGCAGCAGAACTCAGTGATGAAGTAGGAAGATGTGGTTGTCTCCCTGGGAAGGAAGGAAAACCAGCTGAGCAATCATAATGCTCATAAGAATACAACAGTAGACTCAGCTATCTGCAAATACCTCGTTGCATCTGCTTGACCCTTCCTTTTTAATGAGTAATTTCTGGTGTTTACAAGGCAGGATCTCAGGGCTGGAGAGATGGCCCAATGGCTAAGAATGAGCATTGCATTTTCAAAAGACTCAGCTCTGTACCTGGCCCTCAGCCCCCAGCGCCCAGCATCCATGTCAGGCCTCATTGCACCTCTAACCCCAACCCTGAGGGACCTAATGGCCTCTTCTGGCTCTGAGTGTACCTTCACTCCACATGTGCATAACTACACCCAGACACACAGAAACAAAAATAAATTAAAATTGGGTGGGGAGATGGGGAGACAGAGAGAGGGATACTCTTTTGATGGAGGGGCTGGTCCTGAACTCCGGGGCTCACGGGTTGCTCCTGGTGAAGGTAATCACCAAGTAGCTGGGATTTGTGCATCAACACACCCAGTCACCCCTGTCTCTTAAGAGACGTTTTCTTTATACTCTTTTTTTAATATTTAATTTTGAGACTAGCTGTAGCCCTAACTGTCCTGGCACTAGTCCAGACTGGCCTAGAAGTCAGAGATCTGCCTGCCTCTGCCTCCAGGGTGCTAGAGTTAAAGGTGTATGCCACCACACCTGCAGAGAGGCCGTTTCTTTTATGATTTATTTATTTATTTTATGTTTGTGAGTACAACTATAGCTGTCTTCAGACACACCAGAAGAGGGCATTGGATCCGATTACAGGTGGTTGTGAGCAGCCATGAGGTTGCTGGGAATTGAACTCAGGACCTCTGGTAGAGCAGTCTTAACCGCTGAGCCATCTCTCCAGCCCAAGAGGCATTTTCTTAATGGCTAACATGAATTCCTCACAAGAACTTGGGCATCAGAAAAAGAATGCCAAAGTGAGATGAAGAATTGTAGCCCTCCCTGAAGCATCCCCTAAGTATCGCTCACACACAGATCCAATTTGGCAGGGATGGCAGATCAGGGCGGGCGTGGGTACTTCATCTTTCCTGCCGTACAGGAGAGTCACACCATGATCCCTTACCATGTTACAGCTGTCTTGTTAGGAAGCTGCTGAGGGGGAGGGGACGGGGGCTGGGGGGTGAGTGGGAACCACAGCAAATGGTGAAAACACATTGTAAAAGAAAGATGAATGTTTGGAAGTTCAAATGTTAGATGTCAGAGTAACAGTTAAATTCCCTTTCAACTGAAGCCAAACAGAAGCAGCATCAGGTAGAAGACAGAAATGGGAACAGAAGAAAGGGAGAAAATGACTTCCAGTTTATTTCACAGGAAAAATGTCCTTGTTGTTTAAGGTTTGAGGGGAAATGTGTTTCTGAGTAGGAATTTGAACTGATTTCCACTTACTCTTCTAGTCTCTTCCTGCCTCACCCCACCATATGTAAATCCTGTCCAGTCAAGCAGCAGGTTTCTGCTGTCAGGATCCAAGAGATGTCACCAGACCAGGAACTCAGTCCCACAGCATGCAACACCAGATGCATTTGAACTCATTCTAGTCAAGAAATAAAGGCAGCAAGAGCCTGGAGAAAAGTGCGCTGTGCAGACCAGTGACAGCACAGTGTACACACTGGGAAGTCCAGTGACTGCACAGTGTACACCCCTTGTTAGACCAACGACAGCACAGTGTATGCCCTTTGCCAAGCTTGCTGTGACACCAGGCTCTCAAGAACAGCACAGAGTCCTTTCTGATACACTTGGCGCTACAGGAGTTCAAAACAATTTCCTAAGAATCTGAAATCCAAACAGGTTTGATTTCATCTTGAAGAATAATATGTACAATGTGCTGAACAAGGCACTATCATTGCCCCTGAATATCAAAGACATCAATCAGCAACTGCTCAAACAAAGCACAATTATCGAGGCTGAAGGCAGACTGTACTGCAGATTTCAGGATGAAGTGACTCAGCTCCACACATATTAGGCACCTACAGTTTCCATCTCCAAAGTAACAAATCCATAACACCCCTCAAAAGTCTAAAGTAACAAAAAAAACCCACTCCCTGACAGTGCCCACTGACCGGTGAGTGTCACTAAAAACTGTGTCCACTTACCTGACAATTCTTGCTTCACAAAGGAAAGCACAGCCAAGTAAACCTGGCAGTCGGCAATAATGATTTGCCTCTGAAGTCGATCGACCATTGAGGGGGTGGATTTCCGGGTATCAACCTGTGTTGTGAAGAGAACATCATAAATCATATTCAAGAAAAGCACAGCCTCCAAATATTTGCACAGCCCGGGACAGAGTGATTTCCCATGGAAGCTATGAAGCTTGGAGGCCACTCAAAGCCACAACCAAGTTATCCCAGAGGCTTGAGGCGGGGGTCCATGCTCCCCTCTCTCCACTCTGTCAATGATTTGTAGTCCTAGAAAATATCGTAATTTAACCTCATGTTGTAAATGATAAAAATAGAATTTATGAAAAATATTAAAAAATCAAAGAAAAAACCTAGTAAGGTATCCATCTTTTTTTTTAGATAATATAAATTTTTATTTAACGTAAAATGAAAGATATTCATGTATATTGCATTCCACACAGCAAATTCTGAAAGGCCACTTTACAGCCGTCTGTACTCAGGTGAAATAACACTGATATTAGGGTGCGACCTTTACTGTGTCTAACTGATATGCAAGGGTGAGAACACGCTACATATCCATCCATTAGTCAGAATATAACCAGAAACAAAACACTACCTCTGACTAAATCAGAAATCATACCTGAAATTTAAGAGATGTGAGTAAAAACAAGCAAAAAGTCAATTACGTTTTCAATGCTGGCCTTTGTCATATGGGTGTCTCTAAATGGAATGGAAAAGTCACCATGACACACACTCCCACCTTAATGCTAAGTGCCTCCTGAAGTGACTGCATACAGCTTCACGGTGCTGTAAGAAATGGCATGCTCCAGCACATGTCAACAGTGTATGTACAACAGGACAATCGTCTCTCCTCATTTGACTAAACTTAACACACTCCGTCATGGTCCCCATGCTCACGTCCAGCCCCAGCAGTCACTGGAACAGAAAGACATCAGTCTGTACTCCCCTTTCCTTCTGGCAATAGCATCTATGATGCAGGGTTGCCAGAGGGCTGAGAGCTCACACGTAGGAAGCTGCTTCACACACTGTAAGGCTCATCTCGGATGTTAGCAGTGTCCTGGTAGGAATGCGTGCAGACAGGCTGGGCATGGAGCGAGTTTACAGTTTACAAGAAAACAGAGACTTTGTCACCACTTGATAGTAAGTACAACACTTCTGCTGTCTGACTATGCAAACCTCCAGCAGACGATACAGCAGGGCTCAGAGCCTCAGGCAGGAGGGTACTGGAGGCAGGAGGATGACATTTAGGAAGAACCAAAGAATGAGAGACAAATAATGATTCAGAGTGATGGCTCAGCAGGTGAAAGCACTAAATGCACAAGGTGATGGGCTGAGTTCTAGATCAAGAGCCCACATAAAAGGCAGGTGTGGTAGTTCCCTCCTGTAACCCAGCTACGGCCATCACTAATGTCTGCCTGACAAAGCAGAGCAAAAGCTGGCCACTTGATGACTACAACCTACTGTTAAGTGACAGGTGTGACACATGAAACCCAAGCAGTTTGAGCAGACTGCCTCAAGAGCTTCATGTAAGTTACAGTGAATGGTGAAAGCAAATTCTAATTATGTGTATTATGATCTTTTGTGTGTTGGTGCCCATGTGTGTTCATGTATGTGTGGAGGTCAGAAGACAATGCCAGGGATGGTTCCACTTGGACACGGTCCATCTTGCCTTGTTTTTAAATATAAATTTCATTTATTTGTGTCCATGTGTGCTTGCCTATGCACATGTGTGTACACCATAGTATGCATGTAGGGGCCAGAGAGAAACTTGTGGTTACTTTTTCTCTTCTACCTTGTGAGCCCTGCCAACTGAACCCAGGTTGTCAGATTTGGCAGCAAGTGGCTTTTCTCAGTGAGGCACCTCACTACAACACCTCACTTTTTGAGACTGGTTAGGCTCGGTTGACTTCCCCAGTGCTAGGATTCCAATGCATGCCATCACACCTGGCTTTCTATGTGGGTTCAAAATCAAGTGCTCATGCACACACACAAGCATTTCACAGGTGAGCTATCTCCCAGGCTGGATTGTAAGCTTACTGAGACTTTGATTATAACCAAAGGCCAGCAACTCCTGGGGAAGTTTAGGTCAACAGCTGGATGCCAGGAACATGCCAACGTGTGACTGCTCTGTCAGTTACTGCCCTTGCCTGTTTAGTCACACCCAGGAAACCCTCACCTCAAGAGCCTCCACCACAGAGCTGTGCTACTTTCATTTCTGTGCTTGAGATAACGTAACCTAAGCAAAAGCAACTCAAGGAAGGGGGTTTACTTGATTTTCAATTCCAGGCTGCAGTCCTATGGTGAGGGGAAATGAAGGAGAGAACGCATGGCAGCTAGTCACACATCAGTCGAGCAGGAAGACACAGATGCTCCGCACTGCCTTTTTGCCTCTAGCTTTCATCTAGCTCTCCCCCACCTCATAGCTCAGTGGCCCTGCTTAGGGAATGGTTCCACCTACAATGGGCTAGATATTTTTACATATATTAAAAGCCAAGATAATCTGCCACAGACATGCCCATAGGCCAGCCTGATCTAGAGAATTCCTCGACTAAGGGTCTCTTCTCCATGATCCTAGGTGGTGGCCAGTTGGCATTTAACACTGTCACACCCACTCTAAGAACAGGCAAGAGATGGCTACAGTGACTGAAGGGGCATCTACTATTCTAAAAGAGACAGTACTTAACTAGAAGCCATGACAGATAATTAGTGTCTATTTTCAGTCATATCCTAAATTCCAAACCCAAGTCAGTGAAACATGCTCTACAGTGAACCATGCTTTACAAACAGGATGTGGTCCACAAGCAATCCACTTACATTCTTCTTGATTTTATTCTTAATTGTCTCGATTACTCCAGCCTCTTCACCTTCACACAGCTTCTCCGTGGTCTTTAAGTCATCACATGCCAACTGCATCTTCTCCTCCTCGAACGTCATCATGGCGTTCTTCCAGGGAACAGAGAAAGGACTGGTGAACCAGCAGGCATGGGGACCTCAGGCTATTACCACAAAATGCCACACTAGAAAAACAACCTCAATGATTCTCAGGTGAAAAAATTTACACTGTTACAGGACACCCAAGTCACTAAAAAACTATAATATTAGTAGAAAATAAGACTTTATATCTCAATTATTCCAGCATGAAAAAAATCTATGGTAGTGAGTATTCTTATGTTTTATACTCTTTAAAACTCAAACATAGAAGAAATTCTCTATCATTTTTGATTGACCTATTCAATTCAGTTTTTGTAACAGTACCACTTTCAAAAGTTCATTCTATCCATTGATGGATCCCTGGCTTCAAATACTGAACCAAAAATACTAGTAAAAGTTAGTAAATTCTACTAGGAAATCAGTCTTTCTAGGGACAGAACTCCTGTGGGTGGGTTTTCCTGCAAGGAAGTTACTTTGTATGATCTATAGTCACGCCTTGATGAGCACTTGTGACATGATCCCAGTACAACGGCGGGCTATCTGCTTGGTTTTTATGATGAGCACTTGTGACATGAGCCCAGTGCAACGGCAGGCTATCTGCTTGGTTTTTAAAAGTAGTCTCATGTACCCCATGTTGGTCTGGATGTCAATCTGCAGATAAAGCACACCCTGACCTCCTGCTTCTCCTGCCTCCACCAGGTACCAAAACACCTGGGAAAGAACTAAGGTCTGGGCTGAACAGGCAACAAGGGTGGGACACCCACGTCTCTGGAGGCCCTATTGGATCTGCTGGAGTCTCTGGTGTCCTAGTGTCTCCATCTTTTCAGTCTCCATTGGGTATGGCTGATGTTTAAGGTTCCTTTGGTATGATTTTAATCAGCTTTTCCATTCTCGCCAAATCAGACCTCAGTTACCTCTGCCCCAGCCATGTTCTCCTTCTAGCCATCCTTTAGGCCACTAAAATCTCAGCCTTGCTACGGTCTCACTTTCCACTCCTCCTCCCCGTTCCTCAGCCAAGAGCCTCTGCCTCCGTCTCTGTCTCGATGCCCTCTCTCATAGCCATGTGCGTACTCTGATGGTTAATCTCAACTTCAAAGTGACGAGCTCTAAAATCCCTCGGGGACAGGCCTCCGGGCAGGTCTATGGCGTATGATGTTGATGAGGTTAACTAGGGTAGGAAGACCTGCTCATTGTTGGTGGCGCCATTCCCTACGCTGGGATCCTGAACTGTCTATGAAAAGCTAAACAAAGGCATTCATCATTCCCTGATACAGTCCCAACCATTATGGACTCTAAGGTCAAACCGTTCCACAGCAAACTCTTTCTTCATTTGCTCCTGGCTTGTATTTTATCACAGTCACAGGAAAAGTAACTAAGACAGAGACAAACAGTACAATCCCCACCTAGAACAGCCTTCCCCTAGGTATGGAGCTAGAATTACTTCAAAGAGGAGGCTTAAAACCTGTGTTCCATTAAGAGAAGATCAATAGCCTAAGTGAAAACCCAGCATTGGGTGCTGGCCAAGGACCAGGCAGGCTGTCCACACACAGCCACTGGCTGCTATCTTTCTCACTCTTGAATGTAAGGTTCTCTCCCTTTAGTCTTGACTCAGTACATTTTCTCCATTATGCAATTCTACGATGATGTTTTAGGATGACGTGTATGAAAGTAGCTTATGTGACAAGCATTTCAGAGAATCACATGCATCCTCCTATACTGACCAGCCGACTGAGTAAAACCACTGTAACTTGCTTCTTTCTCTTTCAAATGTTGGAATGCTTTAGCTCAGCTTGCAAACTCATCCCCTAGGCTGCTGCTAACCTTCCTTACTGAGACCTTTCTTCTCATCACAACACAGTCTTAACCTTTGAAGGGCTTTCAGTTAGATTTTTATTCTAAAGGAAAAAAAAAGTCAAGCTGGAGAAAATATAACTTTCTAAAAATCATATATAAGCGTTTTATTTTTATACTTGGGGGAGAACATTTATCTCACAGACATTAATTAATGGGCAATAACTTTATGTTTTCTTTAACAGTGTATCTATATAGCCAGCAGCCAAGCAGGCATTACTTTATATTTGTTTTCTTGACAGCAAAATATCTCTTCTGACATCAACTTACCAAAAAGCTGACGAAGCTGGCTCCAAAACTCATTAATGGGCTATGATTTCTGTTGAGAAAACAAAAATATTTTATTGGAGGTCTCACTCTAAAAGTGTTGGGTAGAGCAGGGTATTGTTACATAGACGGCACTCCATCCACTGGACAGTACGGTGAGGAAGCTGAAGACTGAGCTACTTCTGGCTCTGCCACCAGGGACTCTCTACTCCATCTTGGAGTCTTCGAAACCAAGTGAGGTCTCAGTATGAAATTAAAAGACTAAGGAGCTGGCAGTAAATATAAAGATATAAACAGAAAGATTTACTAGACCAAAGGAAGGTGGTGATCTGATTTTAAAGTGCAAAGCAGAGTCCAAACTTCACACACACAAGGGGTGGGCATGGTGGGGCAGGCCTGCAATGCTAGTACTTGGGAGGCTGAGGCTGGGGGACCACGATGGAGGCTTACCCAAGCCAGGCATAAGCAAGATCCTGTCAATACAAACAAAACAGAGAGCACCTAACAAACATAAAGTCAGTCTTATTTGTAGAACAGATCAAAGGGTGTCTCCACTGGATATACACCCTCCAACACCTCCCTAAGACCCAGTAATTCCTGACTATGACACTCAGCCATCACCAATCTTGTAGTAAGCACAAGAGGACAGCAAGTCAGTGCAAAATGAGTCAGAAACATTCAACATAAAGTCTTCAATCCAAACTAAAACTACTACAAAATCCAGATCTCCATAAACTGTGTAAGAGGAAAACAAAGCCATGTACTCTTAAATAACAATAAAAAAGTCACTCATTTTTCACTATGCAAATACATGGCCATTATATTAACAACAACAAAAGTCATGTAACAATTTACTAGCCCATCTTCCACTAAAAATTTACATTGTACCCAACGTGAAAAGGGTTGTGTATGTGTGTGGAGTCTCTCTCTCTCTCTCTCTCTCTCTCTCTCTCTCTCTCTCTCTCTCTGTGTGTGTGTGTGTGTGTGTGTGTGTAAGAGAGAGAAAATGAGCCCTTGTATATATGAGGAATATCCTGCATGGACATGTTTGCAGGCAGTACCAAATCTGTTCTTGAGACAGACTACCACAGTCAAAATACATGTACATCTCCTTTTCTTGCAGTGGGCTATGTGAGGATGTTGTCAAGGAAGATTCCACAATTAAAATTATTTCGAATGCTAACCTCTCCTAGTACTTTTTTCTCATCTACCTTGTACTTCTGCTCACTCTATAGCTGCCTTCAGGTTGCCTGCCCAACCCTCACCACCACTTAAAAGGATGCTTAAATCAACCACAGCCACAAACAGGAAAGTCAGCTCACTTGTCAAGGACCCAAAGCAGCACTTAGACCCCTAACCTTAGCTGAGACATCTGTCCTGACTACAATGCTCGCAAAACATACGCTGTTGATTCTCGTTCCACAGCATCACCTAGAGCTTAGATGTGGTACAGGCTTCTAGACCTGTATTAACTGCATCCTGATGTCTTACACAGCAGGCATCGGAGGACCAGGTCAGTGAGGGAGTGAGGTCCCTGCTCTCAAGGACAGCATTTGATGGATTTCAGCACAGCGATGGCCACTCTGCTTCCCCATCCACTGACTGCAGTTCAGCCACTGCTGCTTTTGCTTCGTGATCTTGGCTAAAATTAGCTTCCTGAGAACCACAGGGATTAATTATCCATGGAGCCAAGTCTTGCTCCCGTTACCTCACATACTGCCTTATCATTTAAATGGAAGAAAATATGCTGGCACCCATCCAGTGGAGGTGCTTTCCCTCCTTGAGGTCCTGCCCATCCACCAGGCAGCATGAAGACATGAGGCACGAACTGCTGTCCTGTCAGTCTGTCTCCGAAGCCCTGTGAGCGGCAGGGCTCAGTCCACCCATGTTCCCTTGCTGGGTCCACTCAGCCTTTACTTCACATATTTCAAGTGACCCAACACTAACTTACTTCATCTTAAATTAACTCTGGCCCACACACATGTTCCTATACAAAACATGTCTTGGGGATTTTAAAATGCATCCAAAGATAGGATAACTACTGAAAACCCAGGGCTGAGGCAGGAAGCAGGTTCGACTGAGTTCAAGGCTAGTCACGTGAAGACCCCATGGTGGCAGGAAAGCCCCAACATTTGTTTGAAAAACAGGTATTTAGGACTGTGGACATTGGTAAAATACTTGTCTAGTATTCACGAGGCCTGAGCCCAATACCAAGCACCACAGACCATGTGATAGGGCAAACACCTGCAATCCCTCTGCACCTGGAAGTGGAGGCAGAAGGGCTGGGAGTTCAAGGTATGAGGCTAGCCTGGGCTACATAAGACCTGTCTCAAAAAATTACACACACACACACACACACACACACACCACCTTAAACATGAAAATGTATACCTAGAATGTCAGAGAGAAGTGGAAAGAGCAGAAATGGTGCTCTTGTATTTACGTTCTTCACTGAAGAGACTTTGGAGCACCCAACAGGAACTACAAGCTGTAAACAGAACTAAGCAAACCTACATGTGAATCCAAACATAGCAGTAGTTCGGGTGACATAACCTACAGACTTTAAAGAATGTTAATTTAACAGTACACTCCTCTTCTGAAATGTCCTCAGAAACGACCGTCCTCAGGGACACTACTCCACAAGTCTCAACCTGTTTCCAGGGGCCACACCCTTGCAGGACAAGTAGGTTCTGTTTTTCTAAAATAGTGGAGACACAGTTTTGTGATACAGGATGAAGTATATTAAAACCAATGACTTTATACTAATAACATTTTCCTTTGTTTTTTATTTTATGTGTATGTTTTGCCTGCATACATCCTGTCTATGTACCACATGCATGCAGTGCTTGAGAAGGCCAGAAGAGGGAGCTGATCTCATGGAACTGAAGTTATGGATGGTTATGAGGCACCATGTGTGTGCTAGGAATTGAACCCAGGTCCTTTGGAAAAGCAGCTGGTGTGTTTACCCACTAAGCCAGTTCAGAATACAAACTGCAAGAGTTCATGCAAACTCAGTGCATATTTTCAGTCTTTAGCAATGGATCTGTTTCCTAGTTCTGTCCCCTGCAAAGTCCAGAAACAATGCTCACTGCCCAGCTGTGCGCATGCCCAGAAGCCATGTGGGTAGTTAGCACCCTCCCTCAATACACTTCAGAGCACACTGTGTCTCCTCCATGAACAGCTACACTGCTTTCAGACGAGGTGTGAGAAGAGCCTGGAGTGCTGGGCTATAGCACAGAGGAAAGAATTTTAAGAGAAAAAAAAATACTATGCTCTTAAAGAAGTTCCTACTATCCAATGAAGAAAATGTTTTGCCATATTTGAGGAGAAAATGTGTGGAAACAAGTCAGTATAAGCCAAACTAATTAAACTTTTTCATTAAAAGGGTACAAAAATACCAGTTATTGTGAGCAACACTGACAGAAGCAACTTGAGAGAGAAGAAATTCATTCTGACTCATAGTCATAGATGACGTAAGTTCACATTGTAGGGAAAGGTAGAGATCAGGAGACAGAGACAGACTTGACGAGGACCAAGCTTGCTCCTTAACAGCCTGGCCTATCTAAGCTCGGCAGGCCTTAGTCCCAAAGATTCCACAGTCTCCCAAAACAATTGCACCAGCTGGAGAGCAACTGTTCAAACACCTGAGAACACATGGGAAGCATTTTACATGACAGAAGACCCTAGAAAACCAACCCATTATTTTAAAAACTGATCAAATTTAGATGGGGAGGGAGACAGTAGGCAGGGATCCTGCCTACTCTCTAAGGACTGAAGGAACTGGCTGAAGAGGGGAAGGAGCTTCTCTCAACAACCAAGACAACTGGAACACCTTTACTCTGTGAGTCCTAAAGACTCATAGACAGCAATCATGAAGACAGGACACAAGAAATTCAATACTACCCACAATGACGACAGAACGGCCAGAGCCATCCTGCAGGCGACCTCACGGTAAAGACCCTTCATTCTTCTACAACAATAAAGAGCCATACAGGGCGGGGGTGGGTTGGGGAGACAAAAATGGTTTTTAACATAAGGCTTACCAAACAATGGAAACACGGAAAAATAATTTCAGAACACAGAAAACAGCACATGTATATACATACACAGACATAAAGACACATACATAGGTATATATACACACAGAGAGACATACATATACACAGAGAGACATACATACACAGATACACACACACACACACACACACACACACAATTAGAAGGCAAGATATCAAGCTGTCCTTGACAGTAGTGATAAACCATTAATTATCTAGGAAGCCATCTGACAGGGACAGGAAGTACCTTGACTGAGAACACAGAACACTCCTAAGAGCTAAATACCAGCATGTCTGTTTTCCAATGGTGGTATTCTTAGCATTTAAAAACCTGTAATTCTTTGTTCTGAGGCTGCCTGTCCCTCAAAGCATAATAGCCAAAAGTATAGATAAGAGTGTCATAATTATTGAGTACATTTGATGCAGATGCTACAATTTATTACATTAGCCTATACAAGTTAGAAATGGGCCATGGTTGGGCTTGTTTCCCGGGAGTCCATGCTTTGGATATGTGGTCTTCACTCTGATGATGTTGAGACAGGTCCTTTAGGGGGTTCATGGTGACTGGGGAAATGACCTTGAATGAGATTCAGTTATACCTCCTGGGCCCTGGTTGATGATCCAAAGAGAACTGTGCTAGAAGGTTGAGCCTGGCCTCTGCAGTCTCTCTGCCTCCTGTCCTGCTGTGTGACCCCTGGTCCCTCTCTTGGTGTCTTCCATGGTGTGATAAAGCACAGGTGACCCTTGATGGAACTAACCTGAAGCCTATACTATGTCCCCGAACTTCTCCCTCCCGAAACTGTGAGCAAAATAAATCCGTTTTTAAGTCAGCCCACCTCAGATACTCCATTATAGTTACAAGAAGTCAATACAACATGTACAAAATTTTCCAAAGTAATAACAAAAACTTGCCCCCTCCAAGAAAAAAGATGTCTTTTGGACTGCACTGACGAAGGCTTCCTTGTATTCACCACCACAGTTTAGTTTTGAAAGTGAA